AAAAAAAAAAAAAAAAAAAAAAAAAAGAAAAGTAAATTGAGGTGTACGTACACCTGAAATACACACAGAAAGAGGGGGAAACGAGGCGGATAAATATATGTACAAATAAACACAAAACTAAAACCACCAACCCTAAACCCTAAACCCTAAACCCTAGAGAGACATTATACGGGCCCCGCTGCTGCAAACCCTAAACCCTAAACCCTAAACCCTAGAGCTTCTGAAGGAGGCGACAGGAGTGTTGATGTGAAGAAGTAAAGCTTGGTGTCACAGGTGAAGCCCTACTCAAACCCTAAACCCTAAACCCTAAACCCTGAACCAAGCCCTAACCCTAAACCCTAGACAAGCTGTAAACCCTCATCCAAACCCTAAACCCTCGATCAAAACCTAAACCCTAAACAACGACAACCAAGCTAAACCCTGGTGAGCTGCTTGTGGCCTCTGCTGCTCTGGTTCTCTAGAGCGGTATACCTACGGTTCAGGGTTTAGGGTTTAGGGTTTAGGGTTTAGGGTTTAGGGTTTTATCTTACCAGCGTAGCCGCGAGAAATGCTGTTGGTGAGAGTCGTAGAAGTTGAAAAAACAAATCGAAAGTAATGATGAAGTTGGTTGAGGGTTTAGGGTTTAGGGTTTAGGGTTTAGGGTTTAGGGTTTAGGGTTTAGCGGTCAGCAGCAACTAGCTGTCAGTAGCGGTATGGGGGTATGTATAAGAAGAGAAAAAGGCAGAGAAGAAGAAAAAAGAAGAAAAAAGGAAAAAAAAGAAACAAAATAATATTTTAATTTATAAATTTCAATGTCTAACCCCTTAATATAGAAAAAGAAGAAAACAACATAAAAGGGTTTTTTCTGCGGTGTATGTACACCTCAGCAACAGGTGCCCACTGGACCTCGCAGCAACCACCGAAAAAAAACAGAAAAGAATCTTTATAAAGAAAGAATAATTATTTATTTATTAATTTATAGAAAATTAAGCTCAAAAAACGCAACTTTTTTACCCTAATCCACACACTAACCAAACCCTAAACCCTAAACCCTAAACCCTAAACCCTAAACCCTCGGGGAGAGGGTTTAGTCAGAGTGACTGCTTGGGGGGCCGGGGGCCCCAGGGGGCTAAACTAGCATCATTTTTTTTCTTTTTTTTAAAAAATAAATGAAATATTATATTTTATTTTATATTTTTTATTTATATTTCAAAATTTCAGGCAAATTCAACAAATCTTTTCTGCATATTTCAGCTCCCTATACACCCCGCACCGCAGCCAACCACAGATCTTCTTCTTACTCACACTGCTGCACTACAAATCTATGAAACCCTTTCTCCCCTTTCTCTTCTAAACCCCACTGACAGCAGCAGCATACAGGGGCCCCCAGGGGGCCCCCTATACCCTAGGGGCCCCCTATACCCTAGGGGCCCCTTGTACCCTAGGGGGCCCCCCAATACACTAGGGGCCCCCGCTACACCCCAAGGGGGTCGGGGATACCCCAGGGGCCCCCCTATACTTCAGGGGGGCCCCCTGTACCCTCGCAGCCCCCATAGACCCCAGGGGGGCCCCCTAGACCCCAGGGGGCCCCCCTATGGCTTGGGGGGCCC